GGGGGGCACTTAAGAACACAAAGCACCTCAACTGGATGGAAGCATGGTGGGGAGGGGCCAAGGGGCTATTCGCTGAGTTGGGACAATGGGGGTGGAGTCTCTCACCCACTCTCAGGGAGGCCCAGTATGGTCAGGTCCGTAACTACAGCTCTGCTGTTACAGTACTTGAACACCACCTATAGTGCAGGGCAGGGGTGTGGAATGGTGGAGGTGGGAGCTGGCAGAATCCGGACCTTCATTGGACTCCACTTAGCGCTTGCCGGCACCAAGTCCTGAACCAGGTGTTGGGTCTCACTCACCTGAGGTGCTTTACGTGGAGACCAGCTGGGGCAGTCTAAATCTTTAGGCCAATTGTCTCAAGCAGGGAGGCGTGATGCAGAAAGGAGGATGGAGAGTTGTGGGCAGTTGCTGCGGGACTTTGGAAACATGCTGATGACTGGAAGTTTGAAGATGGGACAAGGTCTTCGTGGGTGAGGGCCCTCTTTTCACACCGGAGGAAACGGAGGCACAAGAGTGATTGAGGTCCACCAGCACTTGAAGTAGCAGAGGGAGGATTTTAACCTGTCTCCTGAGGGTTGGAAGCTGCAGGAGCAGTGGATTATTGAAGGTGACTCTTCTAGTCAAAGTCTCTGTAGCTGCCACCAAATGACCTCCTCCTGCATGAGGCGGAGTAAGAAGGTGTGGCCAAGACCCTAATAGGATTCACCTGTGGGTAATAGGATTCATTGGATGGCCATCCCGCTGGACATAAAATAAACCTTCTGATATGCATTGGGGGGGCGGTGGGGTGTGTGTGTGTGTGTGGAATGTCTGAGCCTCACTGCCAGCCACAGCCAGGAATCTGAGCATGAGGCAGAGTAGTAGACTTCCCAACCCACGGAGTAAGTAAAGCTGAGTGCTTTGCAGCAGGAGGCTGGCTTGTGGAGTAGGGTGCCTCTGGGCACTTAGTTGGGGGAGTTGGGCCTGCTGACCGAAGTGAGGTGCTTGTGAGCACCTACATAATTCAGGAAGCTGGGTTTCCTGACCCGTGGAGCTATCGCTGAATGCCTTTGGGTTGAGGCTTCCGTGGAGTGGTATACGCTTTGGCCATTTATTAGCAGACCTGAAAGAACTTGGTAACGTCCGGAGAGAAGAGCTGGGTCCTGAACATTCCTTACCTGCATTGTATGTCACCTGTTAACTTCCGTTATAAACTTTAATCATGACTGTCGTCTGCGAGTTCTCTGCGGCTACTGGGGCAGTGAATTACAGAATCTAGATGAAATGCAGTGAGTAGTGTTTGAGATGGAACAAAACCCCTAACTTGGTTGCTGTTTTCTGTGTCTGGTGCCACTGTGGATCCATGGCTCAGGGACCTAAGTGGGCAGGTGGGGACTTAAGTAGGGGCCAGTGGGGCTGCAGGAAGGTAGGGATTGGATGGCACTTGCTCAAGGCCTCACTGTAGGACTAGAGGGAGAGTTGATGGTTGAACCAGGTTTCCAGGGTGGGGTGGCAGGATGGTGGCCTTGGATCTGCTGGCTTTGAAACAATACCACATAAGCCCCCAAAAGAGCTGCAATAAGCCAAGCAAGCAGGTGAGCCCTGTGGCTTGCCTCTCTTGGCTAACAGTGACCGCACAGTATTTTCTCCACTCCTCTGAGCCCGCTTTGTCTCTGGTGACATGGAGAGCCGTGACGTGTGCCCTGACGGATGTTGGGGTGTTAAATAAGGAACAATAAATATATAAAGGGTCCATGGCACCTGATTAATAGTGGCCTGAGTTGCTGGGCCCCGGTCTCGTGAAAGGTGCTTGTACCCATTGGGCTGGGCTGGTCGTCGTGCTGGAGCCAGGATGGATGCGGATAAGGTCTAACTGTGCATTCACTGAAGGGGGATAGATGGAAACCCCGTGGTGGCCCAGGCCCTGGGGATACAGTGTGGAGAGGCCGATGGGAAAACCCAGTTACCGTGTAAAGAGGAGTCCACTGCGTTAACACCTGTTCCCATCTCGGCCTCAAGCCACAAAGGAGCCATGGTGAGACCTGTCTTGTCCAGCATGGCATCCCTGCACTCAGTAGGTGCACAGGAAATGCTGCCCACTGCCATGAAATGCCACACAGAGCACCTGCTGTGCCCGAGCCTGTGGAGGCAGAGGCCCGCGTGTCCTGTGAGCGTGCGTCAGAGCAGGCCAAGAGGAGAAGCCCCATCTGAACCTCTAACCGTTTCGTACTGGAAACACTGCCGCTGCCTGCGAGGCATTCGGAGCAGACAGGAAACTGGGGCTGAGTCTGGCTCTCAGGCTTTGGTATCACATCTTTTTCTTCCCAAACTCCAGCTTGGCTTACCTTTCCCAAGTCTTGCTCTGAAACACACGGGAACAACACCCAGGGGTTGTCACATGCCGTCCTCTGGCAGGGAGGCTGGGTGCAGGGACGCCAGAGGTGGCCTCCTCAAGGCTGTGGCGGGGTGTGACCCAGGCGTCAGCCCCCCTCCGTGGAAGGGGCAGGGAGGTGCAGTTGGATGGGGGTTTAAGCATGCCACAAGTCTTTGAGACGTGCCCCGTCTCGCTCTGCTTCCATCACATTTATATTAAAGGAATCTCCCCCTTTAAACGCAAGCAGCGCAAGCAGGAGGCCGGTTTGCCGGTTCATGACTTTGTCCTTGTGTGTAATGGTCATGTGGCTGCCGCCGCTGCCAAGACTGTACACAGGGGCCCGTCCACCGGCTCACTGGCGTCTCCATGTGCCGTCTGGTGACATTGATCCCAGTCTTGAAGACCCACAACCACTCTCGCCTGCGCCTGAATTCCCTCTCCATGAACATAAATCCACCAGCGGCCCGATTACATCATTACGTAACAGCCGGACACCGAGGATCGCCGCCCCGCCGGAGTGGCACAGACTTCGAGAGAGCATTCCGTCCGTGGCACCATCCTGGTGGGAGTGAAATGATTTGCATCCCTCTGGTGCAGTGGGTTATGTGTTGGGCCGCTAACTGCAAGGTTAGCACTTTGAAACCATCCACCCGTGATGGTTGGCACTCTCAGAAACCCACAGCCCGGTGACATCCTGCCCCGAAGGGTCAGCTAGACGGTTCTCAAAGGTAGTCTCCCCTTCCACTCGGGAGCTTGTCTTCTCCCTGTCCTGGTGGACTTGTCTGGAGAACAGAGCTTCTCCGTGTCCTGTGGTCCCTTGTATTTCTTTGCTCGTTGCTGTGTGTGCCTTCTCTCTTAGTCTTAGATAATCCAGTGTTGAAAACGGGGCCTGACAGCACTGCCCTGCTCATTCTGACAAGAACTGTACGGCTTTAGATCCACATTCAGGTCCTTCATCCATGTTGAGTTAGTTTTGATGTGCGGTGTGAGGCCTGGATCCTGTTTCATCTTTAGGCAGGCGGAGATCCGATTTCCCCAGGACCATTATTTGAAGACTCTTCTTCCCCATTCGAATGGACTTAGCCCTCTTCTCAAAAACCAGTTGCTCAAGACTGTCAAAAGGCCTAATCCCGCAGTCGTGGTGATGTGAAAGTAGGCGCTTGGACAGGCAGGCAGGCTGAACATCAGTGGGAGTATATCCACAGATATATATAGAGATACATGCTTGACAGAGGATATTTATACACGGGTATTTCTCTTTGCTGCAAATATACTCACGGATGTGGTAGAGCATGCAGGGGGCAAAGTTATGGAAAACGTCTTAGACATCAACAGCTTGCAGGAGTGAGTCACTGGGCCTGGGGGTTGACCAAGGTCAATTAGCATCGCGACAGCTGACTTTGATGAGGAGCAGCAGAGTCTGAAAAGATCGGAAACAGCCGTCTCCAATGTCTCTCTCTGTCTGGAGGAGAGAAGAGTGCTGATAGTTGACAGACACATGGAAACAAGAAGCCCAGAGGACTCGTGAACCACACAAGCAGTAGTCGCCCAGCCCCCAAACGGGAAGAGCTAGATGGTGCCCAGCTGTCGCCATCAGCTGCTCTAAAAAGGATCCCATTAGAACAGCAGTTCTCAGCCTGTGGGTCATGACCCCTTTGGGGGTTGAATGACCCTTTCACAGGGGTCACTCGATTCATCACAGTAGCAAAATGACAGTGATGAAGTAGCAACGAACATAATGTTCTGGTTGGGGGTCACCACCACATGAGGAACTGTATGAAAGGAGATGAGGAATGAGGCATGAGGAAGGTTGAGAACCACTGCATTAGAAGATCCTCGGTCGAGTGGGAGAGACACGTGGGGGACAGCACTCAAAGTTGGAACAGAGAACTGGCTTAGTGATCAGGTCGAGACGGGTGGGACCCCCAACACCATGCCCATTCATCACCCTTCAGGTCTTGAAATGAACTCCCGCCTGAGTTAGAATCACCAGCCATTTAAGATCCAACGGGCAGCAGCATTTACCTAAGGACAAAGTTCAGGTGGCCAGGGAAGGAGGAGGAATGGGAACAAGAGCCACAGGGAAGAAGCGGGCCAGGAGGAGACAGCAGTGGATGAGTTGAGTCAAAAGGCGTGTGAGCTAATGGATGTAGACATGATGGTTTGCTCTGGATGCCTTCCCCTGATTCACTGCAGAATAAGAGTAAGAGCCAGAGAGAGCTAGCTGCCCATAGATGAAGTGTAGCATTTTCTGTCTTTCTTTCGTAAATGGAAATGTTTATGACTTAAAGTCGGTAAAGATGCAGGCTTGCAGTAAAAGAAGACAACTGTGTACAAGTGCAGAAGGGAATATGGGAGTCTGCCTTCCTGCCTGTTGCCTCCCCTGCCCTCCGCCGCCGCACTCCCTGTGCAGCCTCGGCTAACTGCGGTTTCCCTGATAAGGGGACCCTTGGCAACTCATCACAGCCCTCCTCACAGCTGTGGCTAGGTCGTGGCTCAGGACTGGAAGTGACAGGGGTCTGGCTCAGCCACTGACTATAACCTGTGACCCTGTCTGATCTGAACAATGCCGACGTCCTTGGCCGACGGTCCAGGAGGAGGAGGAGATGGGATGGCCCAGGTGACTGTTTTCCCGTGGTCTTGGCAGGTTGGGGACCAGATTCTGGAGGTGAATGGGCGGAGCTTCCTGAACATCCTGCATGATGAGGCGGTCAAGCTGCTCAAGATGTCCCCGCACCTCATCCTGACGGTGAAGGACGTCGGGAGGCTGCCCCACGCCCACACCACCGTGGACGAGACCAAATGGATCGCCAGTTCCCGGATTGGGGAGCCCACCTCCAACGCCACAGGGTCTGCCCACCCTCCTCACTCTGGGCCCCAGGACCCCAGAATTCTTAGGGTGTGGAGAGGATCCCTTCCACTTGCAGCCACGACCGTGGGCACATGGTTGCCCCCTCCTAGCCTCAGTTTCCCCATGACAACCTGAAGTGCATGCTCCCTGGTGACTCTCCCAGGCCTCTCATTCCTTATTCGCCCTCAGGCAAATCACTTACCTATTTCCTCTCCTTTTTAACACACACACACACACACACACAGTGGTAACTTTGTAACAGGACATTTGCCATTGCATCCGATTTCCTGTGGACAAACCAGTGACATTAATTGTGGTTGTCACGTTGCACAACCCTCTCTAGGCCTCAGTGGCTTCATCTGAGGAGTAAGGCTCACAGTCCCTCCCCTCCCCCAGATCAGAGGATCCTGTGGGCTCATTCGGGTGCAGGGGCTGTAGGAGGCTTACAGTGGGTTGGAATTGTTATGTGGCTGCATTCAAAAGCGCCCTGCCTTTGAGCCAAGACTGGTTCCTAGCCACCCCAGAGGTCAGAGTAGAACTGGCCCTGGGGGTTTCCAGGACTGCAACTCCGTATAGGAGTAGAAAGCTCCATCTTTCTCCCACGGAGTACCTGGCGGTTTCAAACTGACGACCTTGTGGCTAGCTGCCCAACACCTAACCCCGATGCCACCAGGGCTCCTTGCTCACGTGGCTGCACAGTTGCTGGTCATGTACATGCCGTCTTCTGGTTACCATCAGAGCCTCAGCTGCTGGTCTGCTGGTCTACTGCCAAGCACCACCCAGAGACGGCTCCCTCTCCTCCTCCCCTTGCCGCCTGCCTTCCACCTGCACAGTATTATAAATGTCAAAAATGTAGCTTCCAGCATTTAAAAAGACATTAGACTTCCTGTGGAAATCTGGGTTTCTGGCTTGTTCCTAAAAAATCAGGTGTGTGGCCTGAGCCTCCCTTTCCTCATGCAGAGAAGCTGGAGCTGGGCCTGCAATGGCACTTGGGGATTTCCAGTCCCCTCGAGCCCTCTCCTGCTCCAGTGTTGGCCTGAACCTGAAGCTACCTGGCAGACTCTCTGCTGTCCGTGTGTTAGCTGCCTGCTCCTGGGGCTGGGGCAGTGCAGGGGCCACCTTGCACGGTGTCAGAAGTCCTGTCCACATACTTGAGGGGAAGCCAGAGGTGCCCTGTCTGTCCAGGGGCTCCTATCCCCACGGGTGGCTCCAGACCTGAGCTGGCAGCAAGTGAGTGACCATGAGGGTCATGCATCTCTCAGGAACGTGGAGAAAGCGAAGGCCCTCTGGCCCCCAGAGCCTTAGCACCTCACTCCTGCCTCGTGGGTCCTCGCAGACCCCAGCTGACGACATCTGTCTGTCTTCATAGGTTTCCTGGGGACCTCGCAACAGAAGGGATGAACAAGGTAGGATGTTCCTCGTCGTTGTGGGGTACCTTCGCCTTCTTCCTAGCTCCCCTGATGCAACTGATGAAAGCGTGCATGTCACTCACGTCCTCTCCGCTCCGTTGGGTGCTCCCTTTGCCTGTGTCTGTGAGTGCTTGTGGTGGCTGGGGCATCACTCCAGGTCCCAAGGGAACAAAACCTAGTGGGTCCAGTGCCCGCCCTTGTGAAGGACCCCCCTAGAGCAAAACAAGCCCACGAATAGCACCGAACCAATCACAGAGGACACGCGTGCCATCGAGACCAGGGGCTTGGGTGTACGAGAGATTACAGGTGAGATACCTGCTCTAGATGAGGTCCGGGGAGAGGAAGAAGGCCACTCTGGGGGTCGTGACATTGGCATTTGTGTTCCAACTGATAGTTTACCCCAAGTCAGTGAGGTCAAACTGGGGGAGGGAGGGAAGAGGCTGTGGGAGAACCGTGAGGCAGGGTTGGTGGAAGGAAGGAAGAAAGGAGAGTGGGTGGGTTGAGGCGGTAGGAGCAGGGTGCTGACTGAGGTAGTCCAGGGCTGATCTCAGGCTCTGTGGGCCGTGGTGCCTCTGTGGGGCTGGCTGGTCTCTCTGCAGGGGAGGACCAGAACAGGACGGGTGGTTCACAAGATCGTTTCCGCCGCACTCCGCTGTGCCATCAGTGTGCGGATGATACAGAGGACCCTCGGGGACCGGAGGGGAGTGTGCAGGGCATCTCAGACCAGGCTGCGGACGGTAGAGGCAGTGGCGGGAAAGGGTGGGGAGTGCAGGTTTGAACTGTACTTGGGGAAGAAACCCAGACCCAGCTCACTGCTGCCACCGAGTCCATTCTGACTGATAGCGGCCCTGTGTGTGCTGTGGTTATCTCGAGTCCCCAAGGGGTGCAAACGCCCAGCACCCTCGGCTGCTGACCCCAAGGCTGCAGCCAGGAGTCTGCTCAGAGGTGACCCAGAAGAAAGACTTGACGGTTTGCTTCTGAAGATTCGGATGTTGAATGCCTTGCAGAGGCTAGTTCTGGCCTGGCACGCCTCGGGGCTCCAGGAGTTGCAATTGACTCGGGGGCCCCTGGTTTGGGCACCTGGTTTGGGCCCCTGGTTTGGGCACCTGTCATTTCAGGCACAGGAGACACTGAGGTTGAGAGACAGGAACCGTGATGCTAGTGCCTGCCCTCGTCACAGTTCCCAGGGTCTGGGGAGGTAGCATATGAAGAGGCTGTCAGGGTTGAGGCAAACACTCCTTGGAATTGTGTCGTGGGCTCCCCTCCTTGTCGTATGGCTTCCTGTGTGCCCCGGGACCGCTGAGCGCCTTCGGGAGACCACCCATCTCTGAGTGCCGGGCCAGGCTGCTCAGCGTGCCGGGGGCCTCTGGCTTTCTGTCTTACAGCCAGGATTCTACAAGGGGCCGGCCGGCTCCCAGGTGACCCTGAGCAGCCTGGGGAACCAGACGCATGTGCTGCTGGAGGAGCAGGCGAGGCACCTGCTGACGGAGCAGGAGCGGGCCACGATGGCCTACTACCTGGACGAGTACCGCGGGGGCAGCATCTCTGTGGAGGCGCTGGTCATGGCCCTGTTTGAGCTGCTCAACACCCATGCCAAGGTGATCTGTGTCCCTCCTCTGGCAAGGCCACGGGGCCAGGCTCTGTGCCCGTCTCTGCCCTCCTCCCTTCTGCTGAGAACCCACTAGGAGTCAGGCTTGAACCCTGGGTAAAGACCAGTGATACGGACGCCCCGTACTCCTAGGGAAACAAAGGACATATTGTGGGAGTGAGGCTCCAAGGCTTTATTTACATGCTGGGCACCTTTAGAATGACCTGGATCGCCTTTAAGGAACATTGCCTGGGCCCCATCGTGGCCACGATAACCCTGCATGTCCCGTATGGGAGCCGGGAGCCAGTGTCCATCCCCCTGCCTCTTGACCCAGCCCCCC